AAACCTAAACGGACACTGCTTGTCAGAAGTTTTGTTTACAGTTATACAAATTTGCCTAACAAAGAAAAAAATGCTTAACATTTCGGAAAGTCTATCTCTTTCCGTCGTCGGAAGCAAAAAAAATACAAAGAATAAAGAAAAAAACTATTTAAAATATTTAAATTCAAACTATTATGAGAACACTTTTGACGTTGACACACCGTTGACGTTCTGTTAAAATGACATTATATATATTCTTGCAGTGCAGTGGCGAAATACCCATAAATAATTTTTTTTGGAGAGATGAATCCGCCACATAGGTATAGACATTTTTTAGAAAGTTAATATTAGTATTATGTTAATATAAGTATAGTATAGTAAAGTAATCAATAACTAGTTTAACTATGTAGTGCATTATTAATATTTATATTTAATTTTAATTTTGTTAATTATGATAAAATAACTTCTTAGATCAACCACTTGCGGAATTTTGTCAAGGATCTCCAGTTAAAAAGAGGCGTATCATTAAAAGTCGGGAGTCGATTTTGCCAGCCAATGGGGACGCCGCAGTCGAAAAGTCACCGCGAATGAAAGTCAATCCTGGAAAAAGGACCAACCCACGCCTATCCGAACGACTGTCTGTTTGTCGGGTTTTGCGGTTTTCCAGAAGTAGATATTACGCCGACGACGTTTGGCTTTAGGGCGTTTAAATCACCCAGGGTGAGTTTTAACTTTGTCGGTTCTAACAAATCTATAATATTAGGGTGTCCGTTATTTACAAACTTGATCATTTTCTCTCACGACGCCCTCTAAATTTTTAGTTTATTGTCTAAAAATAATGACAGACCATTTAAACCCTTAATATTCACAGTAAACCTTGCCCCTTTTCCTTTGTGTTTTTTTGCTTCCGACGACGACGGGAAGAGATACTTACCAAAACGTTAAGCATTTTTTGTCCGTTAGGCAAATTTGTTTATTAGTAAACCACTGCTGACAATAATTGTCTCCGTTAAATTAACTTAAAATAACTATTACTTATACTTATTACTAATACTTACACAAAAATAACTATTTTATTTTGTAAACTTTCTTACAGTGGCGAAATACCCATAGAACTTTTTTGTCGGTTGTATAGCACAACTTGTTGGTATCTGATAACAAATTTCTTGTAAATATATAATACCAGATATATTTGAATGTCGAGTTTGTGGTTTTTAAAACTAAAAGAACTTTTGTCGATTAATGATAGAATAAAATCATCAAGACTTAAAAAATGGATAAAATATTTCAATATTTTTTGTGACTGTATCATACATAAGCATGATTTTAGTAGGTTTTGATAGTTTACCGTGTTTTGTGGTTCCAACTAATCAAATTTGTAAAGATCAAATTATCTCCAAAATGAGTTTTAAGAATTATCAGTCCCGAGCACAATTTGTTATGCTAGAAATAATATTTCATGCGGCATCAAAAAATCTTGTTAGATATTATATGTACTGTTTTAAGATTCAAAAGATGGTTTAAGGTACCAAAAGATAACATTTAAATCGTCAAGTGAGTTTGAACTTTTTCAGTTTTCTAGCACAACTTCTTAGTATATGATTGTTCATTTCTTATAAAAAATAATTCTACCTGTAACTTTATGTCGGGTTTGTGGCTTTTACGGCTTAATTGTTTTTTTATCGATTAACGATTGAATATAATTTTCAACATTTAGCTTGAGAGACATTTAAATCACCCAAATGTTAATTTCAACTTTTTCATAATTTATTTCCTATAAGAATCGAAATAATTTACTATTTTAAGGTTTAAAAGAATATACCTCATGGATAAGGCCTTTTTCCCGATCTTTGCGCATAATTACTCTGTATGGCCAGATAATCCTTGCTAAATTATGTTATATCAAAAAAATCTCAATAAATACAAATCTCACACAACTGTACACGATCACAATACACGATTTAAAAATAATCTTGTGAAACCTGCCTCAAGATTACAGAAAACAAGCTGTATTGGTGTGGATTCTTATAATTTGCTTCCGCTAAATTTCAGGAAATCAAGCTTGAATATCTTTAAATGGCATCTTAAGAGATATATAGTGCACTTGGCACCCTACTCCATTGATCATTTTAAGGAGGCTTTGAGAGAGGGCAGAGACCTGCAGATCTTATTTTAATCGGTCATGCCATTTTACGTATTTTACATTGTATTTCTTATTGTGATTTTTTTATTTATAAGTACATTTTTATTTTTACTGATTGATTTTTGACTTATCTGTGAAACGTATATTTCTTATGAATAAAGATTATTATTATATTATTATTATAAGGACCAGAGAATTACATTTAAAACTTTGAATTATAAATTCGAATTATAGCATAAAATAAGAATTATTTCAATATTGTTTTAAGTGAATGATATACAGACCGGACCACCGTAGTAATAACATAGGCAGAACCGGACGAATTAGCGTATACCCGTCCGGCGGATAAAAAGCAGGCGAAAAAATGCGATAAAATAAAAATAGGTAGATATGTGATAAGAATGTTACAGAATTTGTATTTATTCGTGTTTTAATAGCCAAAACGAATACATAGATTCTCGCTGCAGCTCTAGTGTAAAATTTATTTTTTAAGTAAAATAATGGATGTTTACGAAGTTCGTGAGAAAATTCAAAGTGTAAATTGTAAAACGGTATTTCCAAAATAGGTCTTATCGGGATATACAAACAATTTTTCCACAAACTTTTGTAAACAGGCCAATTCCAACTTTACCTACTATATCAAGAGTTATTAATAATTTTGAAACACATGGGTGCGTGTCCCCACAAAAACACAAAAGCCTGATGTGTTGATTAATGAAGAACAGGAGTTAAAGCAAGTGTTTGGGGGTGGTTTTGTAGGGGGAGCATATGATTGGTCCATTTTTTTATAAAGGGTAATTTAACTGTTGCAAAGTATTTGGACTTGTTACAGCAGCAGATTGTCCCTAGAATTCGTGAGTTATTGGGAGAAAGATTCCACAATGTCTGGTTTCAACAAGATGGTTGCCCTGCCCACAATGCCCGTATTGTTCAAGAATATTTGAACAATACTTTTCCCAACCGTTTAATTAGTGGATATGGAACTATTTTGTGGCCCGCTAGATCACCAGATCTTTCTCCCAATGATTTCTTTTTGTAGGGTTATGTAAAATCCAAAGTGTATGATCATAATAGGGCTAATAATCTGGATGAGCTTCAAGTAAAAATATGAGAGGCTTTCCAAACTATTAGCCCTAATCTATCTTCTGTCTAGCACAAGAAGGTGGTCTTTTTGAACACTTGTTATAACTTTTTTTATTTAGAGTAATATTTTAGTTTTTTTCGGGTTTAGAGAATTTATTTATTTTTTTTATAGTGTCCATGACATGGTGTCCCATACATGGTGTCCATGACATGGTGTCCCATATTCAAAACCATGTAGTTAACCGTGCCCGTTTTGTAGAGGAAAAAATCGGACAATGGAAAAGTGAAAATAATTTTCATATGCCAATTCAAGTAATAGCAAAATTTCAGGAAAACCAAAAAACTCGAAAATAACAAGGTTTCTAGAAATATAGTCCCTAGACATAAATACATGACGATTAAGTAAATTTATCACTTCCAGATGCAACTTGAACTTTATATATTTTAGATTTCAGGGAGTGAATGATGTCTTGTAATTGAAACAGAAGATTTGAATTGTAGATTCGAATAATTTATCCAGTATTGTTTTTTTTCAGAAGTAGATATGACATTTATCTTTAAGGTCATTTTATTCACCTAAAAGTGAGTATCAACTTTATCAATTTTCTGGCACAATTTGTGCAGCTTGTGCTAAAATATGATCATATATTTCTTAAAAAAATTCTTATATTACTATTAACAACTCTTTTTAAGATTTAAGTTTTACAAAACCCCCCATAAAAGCTTTCATAGAAAAGTGCCCTGAGATTATAGTTAAAACTTAAACATATAAATTAAAAATTTAGCATAAAGACGCAAATGGTTTAATATGGTTTTGAAGTGACGTTAGATTTTGCGGTATTCCAGTAGCAAATGTGTTTAGCTTTAGCGGTTAAAATCAACTAAAAGTTAGATTGAAGTGACCAATTGACTAACTCAACTTGTTAGTTAGTTTAATCATTTTTTTATTAAAAAATACTATACCTATACTATGGTTTTAAAATATAAAAAAGTCTTTGCAAAAGTTTAAGATTTAGTAAAAAGGTAGTTCTAGCGGAATTTCTTTCAAAACTTTAAAATAAGAAAAATATAATAAAAAAGTCAAATTTTAGCGTGAAAAAGATAATGTTACAATATTGTTACAACTACATGATGTATAATAAATAATTTTAAGTAGGTTTAAATATATTGTCGGAATTTGCAGTTTTCCAAAATTAGTAACGATGTTTAACCCTAAGGCTAGTGAGCCAATGATAAGTTTGAAATGAAAAACTGTTTAAACGGGGTCTTAAAAGTGGTTGCTGCAGTTAGAGCCATATTACATAAAAGACTGCTTTAGTATGTAAATATTGTGGAATGCGCAGGGGCTAGAATTTATAATTTGTAGTAATATTGTGTATTATAATATTTGATCTTTGATTAGCATTATTTCACTTTTATTTGTAAATTGTAAGTTTTCCATTGTATCTTTTAGTTACCTAGCACAACTTGTTGGTGTATGAGAACTCATTTCTTATAAAAAACGATATTACTATTTATAACTGTTTTTAATCTTTAAACTTTAATATTCATATCCCTCAGTCTATCTGTCAGAAGATTGTAATTAGAACATCAGTACAAATCGAAAGTTCATCATAAATTAGAAGAAAAATGAATTTCAGGTCGATACACGCTGTTTTGCATTAAGGCCCTAACAGCACCCAAAGGTTTAGATCTAGATCCTAACAGTTCAGAACTAGATCCTAAAATAACTGGTTCTTTTACGATAATCGTTTTCCTATAATTATACAAATATTAAAGATAAAACTAGGGGTACCTGTAGCATTTCCCAAGTTGGCGTCAAGGGTAGTGCTGCCAATGTAGGAGTAGGACTTAGCTGAGCCATTGGTAGTCCAGGACTAGGCATACTCAAACCGCTGCTTGATTCTGAAGCGTTGGATTCAAGTTGAGTCAGTTTGGTGCCCCAGACAAGCTCCTGCAAAGTTTTCGCATCATTACCAATAATTATGGTTAGTTGTGATTAGATATAATTAGATTTTAAACTATTTTTACAAATAACTCTTTATAATATCACTCTAACGTATTTTTTTTATTCCTGATTAACATTAATGACCAATCTATCTGATTATAGCGTATATAAATTCAAAGTTATATTTGAAGCTTTCTTAACAAAAATATACTTTTTTGTAGTTGGTAGTAATTTAAACATTTTTTTTAGTTTTGAAGAATGAGTTTGTGTTCTTGTGAAATACAAAATATAATAAATAATAATTCTTTAATGTTGAAAAAAATATTGTTCTGTAATGAAAATAGAGTTTACACCAGTTTAAATACTTTTTTGATAACGAACAAACCTAATATAAAGAATGTATATTTTCGTTAATATTTGCAATAAAATCAAATAAGAGTTATATACAGGGCGCCGATAATTTCAATGTTAACCATTCATATCTCAAAAACTACTAACGATACAAAACAGACTCGTTTTAATAAAGCAAACAAATTGCAGTATGATATGTTAGACAAACATTTGTCATAGAGTCCAGTCAAACTAGTAAAGTCTAAAAATAAAATTAAAATTAAAGTGATACCTTAAAAAAAATAAGTTATTCTTGTCACACTTTTTTGAAGTAGTTAATCTGTGTACTCAAAAAGGATTTTAAATTGTATAGGTAAAAAATGTATTACAAAAGTATCATCAAAAAGTTTTATGATAAAGTATGTTTTCTTTATAATGACATGAGACAATTCTTAAAAAATAAAAATTGTCAAAGCTTTCTTCATCAAAAACATTCTGATCTTACGGTATTTTATATCTACCTGACATTTTTCAGCTGACATAAGTACATGTAACAGTCCAGGAGGTGGTGGTAAATGCGGATGATGAAATAACGGAGGAGCAACAGTACCGTTCGGCTCGATGTGCCCATTTGGAGGACTACCAACAGGAGGCGGTGGGGGCAGAGTTAGCACCTTCAAAGGGTGATGCTGTGGAACAAATAGACCAGCCGGTGCAAACTGAAAGGAACCCGCTGTAGATGGTGCTATTTTACTGCTGGCGCCTTCGGGCAGTGGCAGTTGAACCGTATGAGAAGAATGAGAGTTGGAAGGCTGATGCTGTTGACCGTTGTTGTGGGTGAGCTGTTGAAGTTTGGGTTTGCGTGGTCCTCGTTCGTGCTGGACAGCTGAAAAGTAAACTGTTTATGTTGGGACATTTTTACAAATTTACTCTTATTTATATAATTAAAACATCAATTTTATTCGTTGGTAAGCTCATTATTTAATAGGAAAACAACCTAGTTTAAAAGGGTATTATTTTATTTTATTTTATTTAACCAGGTAATTTTGCTTTCCATAATTTTTTCATAAATTGCACTGAAAATGAGCATAAGCATTTTTATTTTGAAAGTTGGCAATCAAATCTAAAAGCTGTATAACCAGCTTTTAGGATTGATTGCCAACTTTCAAAATAAAAATAGAGAATAAATAAAAATCTTGAATCTGGATTTGATGAATCTGAATTGAATCTGATTTTGGATACCAGTACTAGTAAAATACGCTTCGTTCGACCAAATGATCTTCTTGTGAAAATTATTCACTCTTCCCCACATGTCGATGTACCAGTTGCAAAACTCGCCTCTACGCGCAGGATTGCCAGGGTAAAAATGATGCACAAGTTTATATTTATAAAGTTTGAATTTAAATTGTTTTAAAATTTTTTACACTTTGGTTTTAGATACACCCACATCTTCCTCTATGCATCTGCAAGATGTCTTTGGTCTGGATTCAACCGATGCCAAAACATTTACCTCAGATGCTTCATTTTGTTTGTTATCTTTTTGATCTGGGTTTGTTAAAACATCCATACTGAATTAGGTTGCTCTGTATTTTCCGAAATATGCACTAATCTGGCTGTCTTCTTTTGGGATATCTCAAATATAATAAATTAAAATGTTTTAATTACAAGGATACCTGTACCTGGTAACCTATCTATCCAAATCTTTGAATAAGGTCCAAATAGAGCTCTGCCGCTGCATCAGAATCTTTGTTGACTAATATAAAACATTTATTCATGTCATATTTTTCAGAATAATCAAAATTTTGTTGTTCTGTCATGTTTAGCACCTACAGTGAATAAAAAAAAACAACACGGAAACTAGCATGGAAAAGACAATAGCCAACATTTGAGGTTGAATAAATTATTCAATTGTCATTACTATATCTATTATAAACCGGTTGCCTATGTTAAAAAGTTAAAAAATGTATTTTGTACCTTATTTATGAAAATAAGTCTAGGGTATATTATATTTTTAGAAACCTGATGACAAGGCAAATTTAATAAAAAATAATATACAGGGTATCCCATTTAAAAAAAAACTAAGTTTAGGTTATATTTCGAGAATGACAGCTCCCAACGAAAAACTGGTTACGCCACTGGATTCTACGTGAAAATGTTTACTGGGCTACAGTTTTCATCTTTTCGATAATAACCGAGATATGAAGGGGGTCGAAAAATGCAAAATTTCAATTTCGCCCTGTATTTCAAGAACTAAGAGGGCTAGAACAAATCTGTGTGTAGCATCTTTAGTTTAATAAAAAAGTAGCAAGTGATGAAAACCGCATCTTTGTATTTCTACCAATAACCGAGATACTCTGTAAACACACACGAAAATGGGACACCCTGTACATGTAACATTCCAACAGAATACATATTTTTTATATAATTGAAATAATTTAGTGGTGTGGATTTCACTACTCGTAATAATGACTAATATCATACTGATTATTGATTTAATTCTAGTTACAGTTACCAGCCAAATGGCTTTTAGATATAATAACTTTAAGTCAATATATTGATGTGATATTTGACTGAAACCGTATGATCGAGAAAAAACGGCGTCAGCGATGGCCATGAAATGAAGATCGCTATCATTTTATATGTAAATTTATATGGAAAATGTCATCGATCGTCATTTCCCAGCCAACTGGACGCCGTTTTTTTTTCGATCATATATATGGTAGGACTCTTTTCCATGTTAAACATTAGGTTCATGCATGCTGACATGCAATTTTGAGTAGCCCGATTATTTAGTTGCAGAATTGAAACTATTATATTGTTATGAAGCTGTGCACACATGCAATTAAATAGTCGACCGACTCGGAGTTGCATGTGATTTAGTTGTATTGAAAAATAGTAATTTTTACATTAAAAAATATACTGATTTCAATCAACTCAAAACTTGTAAATTTTCAAGAATGTGTGTGCATTATGTGGGCATATGGGCATATGTATTATATGGGCATATGTATCATATGGGCATATGTATTATATGGGTATATGTATTATATAAGCATTATGGTGGGCATATTTGAAGTAAAAAAGGGATTTAAAGGACATGTTTGAAAAAGTGTAGTTTAAAACGGTGGAAAAGTAATAAATTAAAAAAATAGTTTTTTGCGCGTAACAAATAGTTTTTTTAGGTGTAACAAATAGTTTTTTAAGCGTGAAAAATAGTTTTTTACGTGTAACAAATATTTTTTTACGTGTAATAAATAGTTTTATACATGTAAAATTAAAAATTAATAAACAATTAAAATATCAAAATTTTTCATAAACACGTGGATTGTTCACAAATACACATCACGCCACTTCGTATTTCTAAGCCGTAGACTGTCATTAACACTTTTCGGCTCGCTAGCTTGTATGTCACGACCTTGAATTTTTACTCCCAGCGCGCGTAAAGAAGTTTCATTTCAAAAATATTGAAATTAATGAATTTACATACGTTGCAAATCACACAGTAGCAATTACTAATTCTAACACTTCCTCTAACACAGTATTGCCAACTATTATCATTGTGGATCGCTCCGTAGTATCGTAAAATGCTTTCTTAAAGTTATAATATTCTAGTTCAAATTCATTAATCCAAACAAAAACAAGCTATCAATACTACAACTCAACATTACTCTATCTACCAACACCAACCCGAATCTTGTTTCGCAGCTATAAACAAAGCAAATCGATAAAAATCACCTCCCAACACACAGCGCGCTGCTCTTATTCTCCACACCGCTCGCCGTAAAAAAAAAGCAATTTTTCATATTTTGCCGGCCCTAAAGGCAGCGAAATTGCCACGGCGGCCGAAGATTTATCGAGGCCCTTTCATTCGGGCCGCCCGCCACCGCCAGAAGTGAAATAGTCCGGAGGCTGCCGAGCCACGGCACGTCATCATTAACCGTACCTTCTGTGCGGCGGGAGGAGGGGGCGGAGAAAGACGAAGACGCTGGAGAAGGTGGGGGTAGGGGCGGTTGGCGCAGCTGACTGGATTCGCACGGTCGGGATTACGCGAGGCCGCCCTACGTATAGATATAGAAGTACTTATGCTGTTTTATTAGGCGTTCGAAAATTAAATAAATGCCACTGATGAGCGGAAATGGGGCCATTGACGACCTAGCTGTACGGTCGTTTACGTCTTTTATCTTTCTATTTATGTGTCTCTCTTTAAGTGTCAATTTAATCACAATTTTTTTTTTCAATCAGGTCAATTTTTTATTGGCTTTCTTTGAATTATTTTTTTTTCAAAAACATATGGAAGTTAATTTTATTTTAGTCTTATTTGACAATTTTTAATTTTTTTGTTTTACAGTTACAAAATTCTAGGTAAGTGTGATTAATCTAACTATGGTGAGACTGCAATATATTAATCAAAATGAATTAAGGAACATGATAAAAATGTATCAACAGGCGACTCTACTAAATTCCAACAACACAGGTAGTCGGCCGTGGCTCCAGCTCTAGTGTGTCGAACTGCAAGCGGCACTGAATGGCCAGTCAGTACTGTCGCTTTATTTATTTAAATAAAAATATTTATTTATTTAAAAAGAGCGACCAGCGAGACGCCACCTCAAGAAATGCAATGGCAAACCAGCTTCAGTTATTTGCGTAGTAAAACCTCTCAAATAGCGCCGTTCGGATTCGGCGATAAACTGTAGGTGTGCTTGTGAACACTGATGACACACATAACGAAGAAACAACACAGATATAATACAATACTTTGATGTCAAATAACTTAATAAAAAGGACCTCACTAGTTTAAGGGGAACTTCATGGAGATGGCCTATATGAACAACAATCCAAAAACTTTCATTCAGCCCACCATCACTGATGACACATGTCACAAGTACCTGTTGTCAATTTATTTCCTAGTCCAACTGTCCCAAAGCTGGTTGTAAATTATACTTACAATGAGCAATTGACAGTTCTATTTACTTTGCTATCTTTGCTTTACTATTTATTATTTTATGAAAAATAAAAAAAAATTATGTGTTGGAGAAAGTCAAAGGTGGAGAAAATGAAGACAGATCCTCCACACTCCACGTCACGGGTACCTCAGCCGGAGATAAGCTCCTCAACTGTGAAGGGCACGGAGGGCTAAACCCCAACCGTGGAAGGACGTATACCCTCGTAAGAGATAGAGTCTTCGGAGGATGAACATCAGGTGTCAGAGAGGATGAAAAGTACACTGTCTCCCCTCCAACAAGAAGATCCCCAGGTATGATGAGCAATAGTACTGTATAACTGACAAAAAATTGCAACTGACGGTCCATAAAACAAAGACTGTGCTGATAACGGATAAAAGATCTTTTACGTATCCAAAGTTTGTATTGGATAGGATGAAAATCAAATGGTTCAAAATCCTCAGGTATCTGGGAGTGGAAATTGACAAAAAGCTGGACTTCAAAGAACACATACAGGCCGTAGTAGTAAAGGTTCAAACAACAGTGGCTGAATTAGCAAGACTAATGCCAAACATCGGGGGTCCAAGACAGAAGAAAATGATACTTTTAAATGAACTGGCCCGCGCCAGTATTTTGTACGCCGCACTGCTCCAATATGGGCAAAGCAACTGGAGGTTAAAACAGACAACAGAAATTTCTATCAGTTCAACGAAACAGCGCCTTGTAAGTTGTTACTGCCTACAGAACTCTAGCGGAGCAAGCGGTATTCGTTATCGCAGGTATACCACCAATAGACCTGGTTGTAAAGGAACGGGATATGATCAGAAAAATAGAGAAAGAACAGATAAGGCTGATGTTAAAAATAAAGCAAAAGAGATATTATATCAACAGTGGCAAAGAAGATGAGATGAGGCGTACGGTGGAAAATGGACACATATGTTAATCC